TCCTCCTCCTCCTCCTCCTCCTCCTCCTCCTCCTCCTCTTCTTCTTCTTCTTCTTCTTCTTCTTCTTCTTCTTTTGTAAAAGAGTTCTGGAGCTGTAGCCTGGTAGAATATTTGTCTGGCATATTCTAACCCCAGCATGGCATAGACTGGGTGTGACCTGACAGTCACATCTGTAATCCCAGTTTTGGGAGGTAGAGGGATGAGGAGTAACAGCTCAAGGCCAGCCTTAGCTATATGAGTTTGTAGCCAGCCTTGGCTAAGTGGAACCCTATCTAAAAACAAAACTAAAACAAACAAATTAAAAAAAAAACAAAAAACAAAACAACCTACCACCACTACCAAATAGGTCTTTTCTCTCGGAAATGCCACCCACCTACCCAATGACAGTGACTTTTGTCTGCCCCAGAGGGTGACCGGAAGGCCTTTTTTGAGAGCTCCCAGTGGAACATGAAGAAGAACCAAGACACCATCAACCAGCTTCAGGAAGAGATCAAGGCTCTGCACATGCAGCTGAAAGACCTGCTGCAGGTGAGGGCGCACAGGTGAGTGGCAGGCTTGGGGAGGCAAACCCGAGGCCTGAGGAAGTGACTGGGCTCCTCTCCTTGGCAGGGAGATTCGAAAATGGTCCACGAGCTCATTCAGGAGTGGAAGTCAGAGAAGCCGTACCTGAAGAACAGGACCTGTGAGGTTAGCCCCACCATCCCCATCCCCCTTCACTCCCTCCTCACCAGACTTCCTGCTTCCAGGAGCTTCCTCCCCAGGCTTTCTCCATGCCAGCTGCTGATCATTTAGTCACCCAATGGGAAACACACACACACACACACACACACACACACACACACACACTAACATTGAGTTTCGTATGTGCAGTCTCAGGTGCCTCAGCACATGTGTGGGGGACAGACACGACTTTTGGGAGATGGTTCTCATGTGAGTTTTGGCGTGTGAATTCAGACCAGCAGGCTTAGCGGCAAGACTGCTTTTACTCACTGAGCCATCTTCTCGGTCCATCCATTGAATCTTTATTAGATATAGACTTTGTGCTTGACCCGGTGTCAATGTCGATGACCTTGTGGTGATAAAGCAGAGGGAACCTTCCCAAGAAGGTATGCCAGAGATGGAAGACTGACAGGTGTTGGGTGTAGGGGGGCCTGCCTCTATTCTCAGCATAGGGAGGCAGGAGTTAAAGGCCAGCCTGGACTGCAGAGTGAGACCTGAAACCCAGGGTTGTTAGGTAGGTATCAGTCTGGAGAGATGGCTCAGGAGTTAATAGGCCATATTGTTCTTGCAGAGGACCCCAAGTTGGATTTCAAGCATCCACTTGAGGCTGCTCATGCCTGGATATAACTCTAGCTCCTAACCTAATGCCTCTGAGCACATTTGCACATACCCACATTCATATACATAAACCTGAAATATATCATTAAAACAAAGAAAGCAAGGTAGAAAAGCTGAGTTTGAGACCAAGGGCTAAAACTGGGAGACTGAAAAGATGTAAGCCACCAAGACACTGCTTGTGTGTCCAGTTCTGATCAGCTCTTGTATCAGGGTTTTGATCAGGCCTGTGTCTGCCTCCCTCCTGAGCAGACCAGAGGTCCCCCCTGGACAGCCTTCCTGATGGGCTGCCTTCCTGATGCGCAGCCTTCCTGCAGCTGCTCTTCTCTCCAGGTGGCCAAACAGCAGCTCCAGACCAGTGTTGTCTTCCTGGACACTGGCACAGCAGCCAAGTTTATTTGTGTTGAGGCCACCACAGTTGGTGTGGCCAGATGAGGGCCTGGCATTGGAATAGTGTTTGATTATTGGTAATGCCAGGAACCCATCTCTCCTGTGCCATTGTGGGCTTCTCCCCATCTGAGGCCAGAGTTTTTCTCTTTGGAGACACCTTCCTCATCCTCTTTGCTGTGTGAGGCTCTGTGGGGCCACCCAGTGGCTACATGCCAGTTCCAGTATTGTAGTAGCTAAGCTTTATGATGGGGGTGGGGAGGGGAAGGAAAAAGAAACAAAAACAAAACAAAAAAGATCCTTTAAAAATAAATCTAGGCACTGGGGGCTGGAGAGGACCTGGGTTTGATTCTCAGCACCCAAATGGCAGCTCACAACTGTCCTTAAGTCCAACTGCGGGGGATCCAGTGCCCTCTTCTGACATCCGGGAGCACCAGAAACAAACAAATGGTGCAGAGGCAAACATACAGACAAAACACCACTACATATAAAATTAAAAATGAAATAAAAATGTTAAATGTAAAAACTGTAGTGGGCAATGGGCTAGGAACCCGGGGGATGACTCAGTCAGTGGTGTACTTGGTGTGCAAGCATGAGGACCCGAGTATTATTTCCAGAACACATATAAAAACTTGAGTGTAGGAGCGGGAGAGATGGCCCAGTGGCTAAGAACACCAGCTGCTCTTCCAGAGGTCCTGAGTTCGATTTTCAGCAACCACATGGTGGCTCACAACTATCTTTAGTGGGATTTGATTCCCCCTTCTGGCCTTCGGGCATATATGCAGACAGAGCACTCATACATTGATTGATTGATAAATAAATAAATAAATAAATAAATAAATAAATAAATAAATAAATAGAATTTAAAGCCAAGGATGGTGACAAACACCTTCATCTCAGCACTTGGGAGGCAGAGACAGATCTCTATGAGTTTGAAGCCAGCCTGTCTACAGAAGGAATTTCAGGACAGCCAGGGCTACACAGAAAAATCCTGTCTTGAAAAACAAAACAAACAAGTCTGAGTGTAGGCTGGAGATAGGGCAACAAGCAAAGGTGCTGAGTATGGGAACCTGAGTTTGCTCCCTGAGACCCAAATAAACAGTGGAAGAAGAGAACCAGTTCCCCTGCACAAGCTGTCCTTCGACCTCCACATGTGCACCCACATAGAAAAACACTTAGAAGTGAGGTCCAGGTGTAGATGCATGCACCTGCCACCCCAGCACTGGGGAACTGAAGACAGGAGGACCCCATCACTCTCTCAACAACCACCTAGTGAGCCAGCTGGCTTCAGATTCAGCGAGAGACCTGTCTCAAATTAGAAAGTTGGAAAGCAGTTGAGAAAGATACAAGACATTGACCTCTAACTTCCGTGTAAGCAAGTGCACGTGTCCCTGCACATACGCACACACACACACACACACAGAGAGAGAGAGAGAGAGAGAGAGAGAGAGAGAGAGAGAATTTAAAAGGTAGAGCCTAACAAATGTTTATTATTAGGCTATAATTATTATTTGCCATTTGCCCTATGATTTTCATGGTGGTATTTAACCCACTATCATGAATAACAAGACATAGACACTTGTTAGATTTTATAATTGCCTTATTTACATTGGGCTGGGCAAATATTCTACCTACACTGTCTCAACAACCTCACCATTCATCTCCCAGCCCCATCTAATATCATCTGCCTTAACCATCCCTATCTTATAAATACTTGCCTGTATTCGTCATCTGGGCCTTTCCATGCCATTATTGGAGTCCTTTCCCCAGCCCGCATGGTTTCTTCTCCATGCTAACCCATCGTGGCATCCTCCTTCCTTGTCTCTTCCCATCTGTCCCTTTCCCATCCATCTCTTTCCCATGATTCTCCTGTCCTTCAAAGCCCAGGAACCTTAGCCATGCCTACCCCATTCTGCCCTGCCCAAGTATAGGCTATTTATTCAGCCAACCAGGCAACAACAAGGATAGGTATATCCAGGAGTAGCCAGATCCTGAGGGCCAGTCATCAGCATCAGTATACAAGCATCAGACCAACTCTCAAGAGAAAGAGATAGGAAGGGAAGGAGAGAGAGAGAACTGAAGGTGTAGCTTAGACCGTGAGGTGCTTCCCTAGCACACACAAAGCCCTGTTGATCCCTTGAGCGTCATAAAATGGGAGTTCAACGGTATACTAACATGATCCAAACACCCAGGAGGTAGATACAGCAAGATCACAACTTCAAGCTTATCTCTGGCTGTGTGCAGAGTTTGAAGCCAACCTAGACTACAAAGACCATGTGTTTAAAAAAAAAAATGGAAAAGGGAGCGGGGAATAGCTCACAGGTGTAGCCTCCATCGAGCTGTGCAAGGGCTCGAAATTTCCTATGCACACACAAACACACGAACAAGCACGCATCCACGCATGCTTGGTGGCACAGATTAAAAAAGAAAAAAAAATGGATGCCAAGGGTCCTGGAAGCCAGCTAGGAGACCAGAGAGACACGGGCTTCCAGGGGAACAAAAACTCTCGAGGGCAAGCTGAGGCTGCGCTCTCCGCCTTCCCCTGCAGCAGGCCCTGGAATACCTGGAGCACCAGTTCAGGGAGAAGGTGAACCAACTGAATGCCCTCAGACACCAGGTAGCGCTGCGGCAGAAGCGGCTGGAGGAGCTGAGGCTGCAGCACAGCCTGCGTCAGCTGGAGATGGCAGAGGCGCAAGACAATAACACAGAGGCTGCCAAGGTGGGGCCCCCGCTGAGGCCGGCAGGGGGCCGGGGGAGGCACGGAGGGTGGCGAGGCAGAAAGAACTCGGCCCAGCTCTGCCATCCCTCTAGACCATGCGCAACCTGGAGAACCGGCTGGAGAAGGCCCGGATGAAGGCCGAGGAGGCAGAGCACATCACCAGTGTGTACCTGCAGCTCAAGTCTTACCTACAGGTAGGCACACTTTGCAGACAGAGTCAGGTGAGGAGGGCGAATCCTGCCAGAGGCAGCGGTCACAGGCCTTCCCCTTCTCCGTGCGCCAGGAGGAGAGTCTCAGCTTGGAGAACCGGCTGGACTCCATGGAGGCTGAGGTGGTGAAGACCAAGCACGAGGTGGAAGAGCTGAAAGTGGTGAATGAGGAGGCTCTAAATGCCCGGGACATCGCCAAGGTACTCTCCTACCTGCCCGGGGCGGGGCGGGGCGGGGCGTCCTTCTCCGCTACCAGAGTGCTGTGTGACTCTTCTTGGGAGATGGTATGGTCCACCCCCCACCCCACATAAAACACTAATCACAGCCAAGTGGGTTAATGCACACCTTTAATCCCAGTGTTCGGTGTCAGAGGCAGGATCTCTGTGAGTTCCGGGCCAGCCTGGTCTACAAAGTTAAAAAACAAAACAAAACATCCATAATCTACTCCACCAAAGCCCAGTTTGGAGATCAATGAGTTCTTGGGGTTTCTTTACAGAGCATGGGTGAGGAGTCACTGACACGAAGGCCACACCTCTAAAGTTCCACTCACCGGAGCCTCCTCACCCATCCATTGTCACCTGGGGAGGGGCCTGGTGAATGTTGCTTCTCGGGCCTTGTAAGTGTCATGGACTTGCTGAGTCTTGAGCCTCCCTCTCCCTCTAGGAGGGAGTATTTCAATTCAGAGAAAATAGCTCTGGGATCCCAAGGGCTCAGGGAATCCCCGTCAGAATTCAGTTGTCTTTAAGCCATTCCCGGCAATCGCACTGCTGCTGTGTCTCCTGGGGCCCGCTGCTTCACCTCTGGCCTGGATACCAGATACCCTTCTGCCCTCCAGAACCAGCTGCAGTATCTGGAGGAGACTGCGATCCGAGACCGCAAGAAGCGCGAGCACTACATTACCGACTGTAAGAAGAAAACCGAAGAGAAGAAACTTCAGACAGAGCGCATGGAGCGCAAGGTGCGCACATCTAAGGGTATAGGGCTTCACCAGCCGAAACCAAGGCCCCAGTCCTGCTCCGCACCCACATGCTGACCCAGAGCCCGCCTAACCCCGCCCCTCCCTGACTCCGCCCCCATTGATGCAGCGGTTCCTCGAACAATCTCACTTCAGCCTCCCTTCCTAGGAGAGGCGATGGTGTCCTGTCCTGCTCTGAGTCTCTGACTCATCCTTCCTCATTTAACTTAGGCCTCTTTGTTCTAAATCTGACTGGGGGCCTGGCCTACCCGCTTCCGGAGGCCACTCCCTTATATGCCCCCCACCCCTTCCTTACCCTGGTTCCCAGACCACCTCTCTGACTCCTGCTGGGATACCAGTACCTAGTCCCAAGCATTTTCTTGTTCCCCACAACCCAAGTTAAGTGGGACCCTCTCCTGGCCTCTGCACCAAACCCTTCTCTGGAGTTGACTTTGGCAGTGGCCTTGACTGTCCCCAACCCTCAAGTAGACCCACCGAGAGCACGTACTGCTGCAGTCAGAAGATACAATCCAGGACTACCAGCGCCACAAGGAAGAGGAGCTGAGGCAGCGCTGGAACATGTACCAGATGGAAGTGATGTTTGGCAAGGTCAAGGATGCCACTGGAGTGGCTGAGTCGCATGTGAGTGCCTTGGCCTGCACCTGAGCAAGAAAGGCTCCTCTTTCCTTAAAGGCATCCTCTCCTGCCCACTCCAACTCCAGCAGAGCCGGCCACACTGTCCCTCGCTTCCCAACCATTCTTCCTCTGAGCTGACTTCTTTGGCATGTCAGTTCTGGGAGCTTTATTTGCCAGGTTCTGTTGTCAGACCATCACTGTGTGGAAGGCCTAGCCAGCAGGCTGCCCAGGACTGCCCCTAACCATGGAACCGGGGCCCTGTTCTGTGCCCCACTCTTGCGAAGGGCCATGCTGTCTAAGACCCGTGTGTCTCCCTCTGGTACCTGATCCTGCTTGAGAACTCTGCCTCCCACCCCCAGTCAATTTTCTCCAGTTTAGGTTCTCTGCTACTTCTTGAAAGGGGCTAATCCAGGAGATCCACACTCTGACCTTCGAGGTCAGCTGGGGACCCATTTGCCAGTCCAAGGGCCTTCTTCAGAAGTGGGTCCAGAACTGTTGAGACGGCTTAGTGGGGAAAGATGATTGCCCCAAGCCTGACAACCTGAGTTCCATGTCTGGGCCTCATGAGGTGGAAGGTGAGAGCTGGCTGACCCCTCCCAACTTTCCTTCCGAATCTACATGTGCGCAGAGGCACATGCTGACACAAACTGCTGAGAGGGCCGATCACACCCCAGAGGCTCAGCATCTTTGCGTTATTTGGTGAGACACCCCGTCAGACCTTGCTGGCATAGTGATTTTTGAACACTGCTCTGCTTCCTCCCGCATGCTGATTTTAGCTGACTCAAATATAGGCAGGAAAGGGCATGGGGGAAAAGTACAGCCTTGAAGCAGCTGGGAAACTGACCCACAGTCCTCATACATAGCTGTGTGACACAGGCAGAGCCTGAGCGCCCTGACCCAGGCTCTGACCAGAGATGGGTGGCCCGCAGGCGGTGGTTCGAAGGTTTCTGGCCCAGGACGAGACATTCACGCAGTTGGAGAATCTCAAGAAGGACAACGAGGAGATGTTGTTGAAGTTGAAGGAAGAGAAGAAGCGGCTCCAGAGGGAGCTAGAGAACCTCAAGTACTCAGGGGATGCCACGCTAGTGAGGTGAGGCCTCGGTGGTGAGGGAGGCCGCGGGGGCGCTAGCCGCAGGGAGCCGCTGAACCTCCGGCTCTCGGCAGCCAGAGGAAGCTCCAAGATAAGATTCGGGAGACGCTCACTAAGGAGGAGCAGCGGCACAGCGACGTCCAGGAGCGACTGGAACGCACCTTGCGAGCCCTCCTGTTGGCCAAAGAGTGCCTGGAGCACCTGGCCGACAAACTGACCCACGTGGAACTGGTAGGCCCCGCCCGGGGGAGGCCCCACCCCAAGGAGCTCCGCCCCTAATGGCCACTGTCCCTGGGAAACCTCGCCGTAGAAGCTCTGACCCTGGCAGCCCTGACCACGCCCGCGTAGCCCGCCGTAGCGCAGCTGGAGTTAAGGTTCACTCAAGCCATAGGGTCCCAGCCCTATGTCCTGCCCAGATGCGAGGCCCCATTTACAGAGGAAAGCCCCACACCACGCCCCACTGTCCGGGTCCCACGTTCCTAGGGGAAGTGCTCTTTTGTTCAAACTCTGACTCCATGGGCAAGACCAACCATCCTGCCCAACCCAGAGCGTAAGCAGCCCAACTCCAGTGGTGCCGCCGGTGGAAGAAAGTCCCTCCTTGTCTGCAAGAGCTCCATCTCTTCAGAAAGCCGCCCTCACAGTGGTCTAGCTCACGTTAATCTCAAAGACCTCCCTGCCCTTTGGACCTAAGACCAAAAGCTCTGCCTTCAAGGCGAGGGCTTTAATTTAGAGGCCTTGCCAGTAGAGGTGGACGCGGCCCTTCTCCGCTAACTTGGCCCATCTCTGCTGCAGGATAGTAGCGTTTTGGCAGGAAAGAAGTTAGACCCTGACACAGAGGAATACGTGTCCAATCTGCTGCTCGTTGTCCAGGAAAAGCTGCTCAAACTGCAGGGGCAACTGGAGAGCTATGAAGTGCCCGAGATGGTACGACACATAACAGAACGAGAGGTGCGCAGAAATCACCGGCCTGCAGGGAATCAGAGCTAGGGGAAGGGTGGAAGACCAGAGGGCAAGGGGGGTGGTGGTGAGGGGTGAGCTTAGTCTCCAAAGAAGAGTAGCGTGGACTGAGCGGTTCCCAGAGTCAGGGGCGGCCTACCGTCAGGGCCTCAGAAACCAGGAGCGGGCTTGAGTGACTAGGTAGGGCTGCTGGGAAAGGTGGGGCTCCCAGGGGAGAGCCGGCAGTGATCGCCACCCAGAACCCTGGCGTTGCGGCGGGAGGAGGTGGGCAGACTGTCACTGCAGTTCCCACACCGCTCTTCTGCCCTCCCTGTAGTTCCTGGCCACCTTAGAAGGAAAACTGCCAGCTTACAACACCCGAATCCTTCTGCCTGTTGCCAGTGTCAAGGACAAGTTCTTTGGTCAGTGTGGGGGCGGGGCGAGGGGGCAGAGGGGGATGAGTGGAAGGGGCACGAGGTGGCCTTAGGTCAAGGCCGGGAAGGGAAAAAGAAACGATCTGTTACCTTCCCCGCCCCCATGCCTCCGTAGACGAGGAGGAGAGTGAGGAGGAGGACCGTGACGTGGTGACCCGCGCTGCGTTCAAGATCCGTTCCCAGAAGTTAATTGAAGCCCGCAGCAAGAAGCGCAGTAGATCGCGCAGGTCCTAGACTCAGTCAAGTCCCATTGGATGCCTCCGGGTCCAGGGAGCCCCCTGGACCCTCTGGGTCCACCTACGGGTGTGTACTGGGGGGAGCCCCGGGGGCTCCCTCAAGGGCTGGAGGAGGCTCACGCAGGGAGCTCCGCAGGCCAGCAGCGCTCGGAGGAGAGGAAAGGCCGAGCCAGCCAGAAGTTCCCACAGTAAATCTCTCGAGGCGTTTAGCGCTCGCCTTACAATCGCGCAATAAAGGTCACTGACCAACCCCCCTGGGTATTCACCTCCTTTTGACCCTGCGCCAACCCCGAACGGCTGCCCCCCCCCCCAACACACACACAATGTAGGGCCACAGACCCTTCGCGGCTTCCAGCCTGACACGATAGGGCTCCCATCACGTGTGGTACAGATTCAGGGCGCTCTCCTTCCCCTCCGGACATCGGAGACACCCCCCACCAGGGCCTGATCGACCCCAACCGAGCACAGGGAACTTCCCGCCCGCCCGGGGGCGCAGACCTGTGGGCCAGTGTCCTCCCCCACCCCCCCCACCCCGTCCCCATCTCTGGGGTCCGGGAAGACTCGTGTCTGGGTGACAGATGAACACACACCTCTGGGCAGGAACGGGGCTTCTGTAGGTTGCCCTGGGTGCGGGGGTCCGTCTGGGGACCTCGGGAGTCCGGGAACCGCCTCGCCCGGCCCCGCCCCGCTAGTGGACGCTCGGCCGCCCCGCCCCGCTGGCCCTTCCGCTTCACTCGGCGGCGCCAGGGAGCAGGACGGGCACCGGGGCCATGGAGAGGACGGCGGGCAAAGAGCTCGCCCTGGTAAGAGAAAGCTGGGGAGCCGCGGACCCCGCGTCCCTAGCGCACCCCGGATTCGGAAACTCCAGCCCCGGGTTTCTAACCTCTGCTAAATGCAGTGTCCCGGAGTCCCCGTTTGGGCACTCAGAGTTCCTGACCCCTCGGAGCGGCTGGTCTGGGGGATGGGTCCGGGGGTCCGGGCGCATCTCGGGAGGAGGGGACGGAGAGATTCTTTGTGACTCTGGACTCCGGGGTGTCCCCAAATGAAACTCCATCCACTCGAGACCCCTGGAGCAGAGGGACCCACGTGGGGTCCCACCCCAGCCTCACGCACTCTGTTCCGGGAGAGCGGGCCGAACGTAAAGGCAGGGGGCTGCGGCCGGGGGACTTCCCTGAGCTCGCCTCCACGTGCAGGCGCCGCTCCAGGACTGGGGCGAGGAGACGGAGGACGGCGCCGTGTACAGCGTGTCCCTGCGGCGGCAGCGCAGCCAGCGCGCGACCCCGGAGCGGGCGGGAGAGCGCCAGGTGAGGCGAGGGCCGGCCGGGCTCGCGGACCCGGCGCTGGGGAGGGGAGGGCGGGGAGGGAGGGCCGGGCTCGGGGACCCCGCGGTGGGGAAGGGAAGGGGCCCGGGGAGCGCGGGCCCGGCTCAGGGACCCGGCGCTGGGGAGGGGAGGGCGGGCCGGGCTCGGGGACGCCGCGGTGGGGAAGGGAAGGGGGCCGGGGAGCGCCGGCTCGGCGGTGGGGAGGGGGGTCGGGGAGGGCGGGCCGGGCTCGGGGACCTGGCGCTGGGGAGGGAGAGCCGAGGGGGAACCCGCCCCGAACCACGGGGCCAGGAGGAAGGGCGGAGCCTACGGGCGGCCAGGTGAGTGGAAAGGGCCCGGGGGCCGCTAGCAGGCTGGATGTGAACCCAGGAAACGGGGTAGGGCCGGGGGAGAGCGCTTCCCCCGGGGGCGAAGCCGACCAGCCGGGAGCGGGGAAGCTGGGAGGGGGAGCGGCCAGGTGGTGGTGGGTGGGGCCGAGGCTTGGCCGGCGAAGCGAGGCGGCGAGGCTGACCGGAGTGGCCGGGTGGGGAGGGCACCGAGGGGAGTGCTTAGTGGAGCTGGGTGTCCTGCAGGGTTGGCGTGGGCGGCTGACCACCGGATGTATATATACATATATATATATATATATATATATAT